TACTTTTGTTGCATATTTGAGAGAAAAATATGATTCTTTTGTGAATTTCAGGTCTATTTGCCAACTTATTCAAAATGAGAAGTGATATCAAATAAATCGCATTAGAAGCGACAATGGAAGTGAATTCGAACCTAAGGAGTTTATCGAATATTATGATAAGAATGGCATTAAGAATGAATTTTCAGCACCTAAAACACTACAACAGAATGGTGTAGTAGAAAGGAAAAATAGGACAATTGCAGGTATGGCATGTACTATGCTTCATGAGAATAAAATTGCAAGTCACTTTTGGGCTGAATTGGTACGTACTGCTTGTCACATCTTAAATAGAGTTTATCTTAGGCCTGAAACTAAAAAGACTTTATATGAATTGTGGTATGATAGAAAGCCCACTGTTAAATACATTAGAGTATTTGGAAGTAAATGTTATATCCTTAGAGAAAAGGAACACTTGGAAAAATTTGACTCTAGAAGTGATGAATATGTGTTTTTGGGTTATTCACAAACATGTCGGGCTTATAGGGCTTTTAATCTTAGAACCAAAGTAGTCATGGAGTCTATAAATGTGGTTTTTGATGATACAAAATCTAAGATAACCTCTTCTCAATTTGATGAAGAAGAAACTAATTTTGAAATTACAGGAAGAAGTTTTTGTAGCACAACCAAAAGGTTTTATTGATCCACATAATCCTGATTTTGTTTTTCATTTTAAAAAGGCTTTCTAATGTTTAAAACAAGCACCTAGAACATGGTATGAGAAGTTAACTTCTTATTTAATGCACAAGGGCTTCAGAAGAGGAGGAGCAGATAAAACATTGTTTATTTTCAGGAAAGGAAAATATTTTCTTGGTGCTTAAATATATGTGGATGATATTATTTTTGGTGCAACATGTGATAACCTTGTTCATACTTTTTCTAAAGATATGAGTAAAACTTTTGAAATGAGCATGGTTGGTGAACTGACTTTCTTTCTAGGTCTCCAAGTGAAACAATTTGATAGGATTTTCATATCTCAATCAAAATATGTAAAGGAGCTAGTTAAGAAGTTTGGAATGAAAGATTCAAAGCATATTCAAACTCCTATGAGTACTTCATCCAAATTGGATAGAGACTCTGATCCTAACAAGGTTGATCATTTCTTATATAGGAGTATGATTGGTAGCTTGTTGTATTTGGCAGCAACTAGGCTAGATATTTCATTTAGTGTAGGTGTTTGTGCTAGGTATTAAGCTGATCCTAGAGAACAACACATTCTTGCAGTCAAACGCATTATTCGTTATGTCACTAGCATATTGAATTCTGGATTGCGTTATTCTTCTGAGTCTAACTTTGACACTACAGGCTATACTGATGCTGATTAGGCTGGTAACAAGGATGATAGAAAAAAGTACTTCAGGTGGTTGTTTCTATATTGGTACTAACCTTGTTTCATGGTGTAGTAAGAAGCAAAATTGCATATCTTTATCATCTTATGAAGCTGAATACATTGCTGCCAACAATTGCTTTGTGTTGCCCAAGTATAAACTCTAGGGGGGGTGAATAGAGTCTAAGCAAACTAAGGTCAATTTTTCAATATTGATTTACCAGCTAGAGTTAAACTCAAATTCTTTGACAAATATTGAATGATGAAATCTGAATTTTAAGCTTTAATTGTCAACATTTATGAAGAGGCATATCAAGACATACATGAAGCAATAAATATAAGAGATAGAGATAGAAGTTGCAAACGTGTACTCAGCGATTTTAGCGAGGTTTGGAAACTCCTACTCCTCGACTCAAGACCTCTCTTGAGACTTCCCAATTCACTATGGCTTCTCCTTGCGGGTGGAGAGCAAACTTTTTACAAGAAACTCTTCCTTGCTTCTAAGTGCTAAGAGAAACACCTTATCTTAGACTTTCTTGAGCCACACCAGCCCTTACAAGATTTGAACAAGATTAATGAAGTACAAAGTGATCTATTTTAGATCTAAAGTACAAGATTCAGCTCACTCTAGAGTATGTATGAATAACTTTAAGCTCAATACTCTTTGATGATATATAGTATGTGTATGATGATGAACAAGGGTTGTATGATTGCAGAGATGTATATCTTAAATGAATGCTTATCATTTAATGAAGTTCATAAGTCTTTAAATAGACTTCCAGACATGTCTGATAAGAGTTATAGCTGTTGGACACGCACTTCAAGAAAAAATGCTCGTTTGAATTTTGAAATACGCAGTTTTGGTCGACCGAAATGAAACACCCTTGTGTTTCGGTCGTCCGAAATGGTTTTAAGCTTGGTCATCACCCTCTCAGTACTCTTGGTTCGGTAGACCGAAGTAAAACATGTTTCTGTTTTAGTCGACCGAAATGGTTTCATCATTCTCAGCATCTTTGTTTCGGTAAACCGAAGTAAAACTTACAGTTATTTCGGTCGACCGAAATAGTTTTGAGATTGGTCGATTCTCAGTATCTTTGTTTCGGTAGACCGATTCATTAAGCCCTTTCATTTCGGTAGACTGAAATGGACCTTTATTTTCAGGAACATGTTTAGATGATGTTTTACATTTTAGTCCTTTGTTCCTTGGACACTGTGAATGAAATGATATGCATGGTTTTGGAAAATTTGAGCTTCAAGATGTTCATATGTACTTTAACAAGGTTTCCTAAAACGCTCACCATCCTAGCTAACCCTATTCTGATGAGATGTTGAAGGCTTGACTTTGACTCTTGATTCCTTAGTCCTTTTCTCATGCCTTAGGTTGCATCTTCAGTTTTGCTCTTCTATTGCAATGCCTTGTTTAATAAAAGTTTTGATCTGTAATTTCACTCAAGAAGACATTAGTGAACATAGAACATCATTAATGAATTATGATCATCAAAAGCCTTAGATTCAAGGTCAACAATCTCCCCCTTTTTGATGATGACAAATCATTGATGTGTTCGTCAAATGAGAATAAGAATGTGAGTAGTTCTCCCCCTATTAATGTGCATAGTTTTGAAGTTCTGAAATTTAGGGCATATAAATAAGAGATTTACAAATCTCCCCCTTTCCTTGTGCAATCATTTAATCATTATTAGAATAGAGAGCATAACATAAAGGAATTGAAAGCATGCAAATCACAAGTGCCAAAAACATGTATTTCCATTGATTCAAGAATTCGAATTCAAGGTACATCATCGTCTTCTCTAATCTATTTCCAATGTGTCAACTACGACCAATGTTTCAACTACAACTGCAATCAACATTAACATCCATAACCTACATCAACATTAACATGTGATGTGAAATACTGAACAAAATTCCTTCTTATTGTGGTCAATTTTTAAAGCAGTGTACCTTTTACAATTAAGTATTAGGTTTGGACTCACACATTTTATTCTGAGGGGTTCTGATTGTCCATGGTCAAAAGAAACATGACCAACCTTGTACCACTTTTCATGCTTTGATATTTGATGTTGTTATGAAAACAAACTGAGGTTATGATAAAAATGGGGAGACAAAAAAATATATGACTTTGGATGTCAGTTTCTAAATCTAGTTGAGAAAGTGAAGGTGCTTTCATAAGTATATGTGTTATAAGAATTATTGTAAGAAAATGTGTTATTGAATGTACTTGAAATTCATTATTTTTCTTTCTGTTTATTAGTAATGTGCCAAAGTTCACTTTGTGATGTGAAATACTGAACAAAATTCCTTCTTATTGAGGTCAATTTTTAAAGCAGTGTACAGCGAGTTTAAGGCTCCATTTTGATAAATGAATGAACTTGTAACTCTTGCTTGATTATAGGAGAGATGCATCTGAACTCTCTCTATATATATTTGAATCAAAAGATTTTCTTCACAAATTCTGAATTTTTTTTTTCCACAAATTCTGAATTTTTTTTTTTCCCCACAAATTCTGTCCTGTGAATGAATTATTGTTGTGGAAGAAAGTCATAGCATGTGGGGACATTTGGTTATTTTTGATGATGTAACTTATATTTGAAGGGTTTATTAAATAAGTAACTATTTGCTTATTTATTTATTATTATAAATAATAAATTTTCAATAGTCAATGCAAGTCCTCACACTTTGGCTCTTTTTACGCTATAACATCTCTTATTCTTTTATTTGTTCTCTTTCTATATTGGATTTTATCAAAGAACTTGAGGGAGTGGGTTGGATTTTATTTAAAATTTCTTTAAATCCTAATTGAAATGATCAAATGTGGGAATGGGTTTTGAGGCAATAGTTTTAATTTCGTTGAACATGATGAAGAACTTCAATTTCAGTGATGGAGTATCATGTAAGACTCGGTGATTATTAATTACCAGAGACCAAGTGAACCAGGCATGATCTTTGTGAATATATGGATTTGACATAATCGTGTTAGGGTTCTGGCCTTCTCCCGACTCCGTAAGGGCGGGAGTCTTGTACACTGTGTTTGCCTTTTTATTGGTCTATGGTCAAAAGAAACATGACCAAAAAGCTCGTTCCATGCAACAGTTTTTATGCTTTGGAATTAGGAATTTGTAATTGCAAAATTACCTTGAAATTGATGGTGGTGTTTGTTAGTGCATCAAAGGATAAAAATGAGAATAAATTATTATTATGAATAAATGTGGAGACACTACAAAAAATACCGCTTTGAATGTTGGTTGAGAAAGTGAACGTTCCTGGAATTAATTGCCGGGAAAAAAAAATTTTAAAAAGTAAGTGTTGTAGAATGCAGGCTTGTACATGAAGTTCTTTTTTTTTTTTTTTATCTTTTTGTTTCTTCTTTTATCTTTTTTTTTGGCAATAGTGATTGTATGTATAGTACCAAGGTTCACATTATGATATTGGTGGTGTTTGTTAGTGCATCAAAGGATAAAAATGAGAATAAATTATTATTATGAATAAATGTGGAGACACTAAAAAAATACCACTTTGAACGTTGGTTGAGAAACTGAACGTTCCAGGAATTAATTGCCGGGAAAAAAAAAATTGAAAAAAGAAAGTGTTGTAGAATGCATGCTTGTACATGAAGTTCTGCTTATTTTTTATTTTTTTTTGTTTCTTCTTTTATCTTTTTTTGGCAATAGTGATTGTATGTATAGTACCAAAGTTCACATTATGATATAAAATTAAACAAAGTTCCTTCTTATTTGTGCTCATTTTTTCAAGTGACATACAGTGAGTTTAAGGCTAGATTGTCATAAAAATAAAACACATTTTCATCACAATTGAAATTCTTAATTACATTAGAAAACAAAAATAAAAATAAAAATAAAAATAAAAATAAAATTGACAACATACAGAAATATTTCTAAAAGGATCCTTTGCTGTTTCTATGTTTGTTTCACATTTTCAGAACCGTCTTCTTGGATTTCTGTTAAAATGGAGCCTTGGGTCTGCAATAGCTCTCCTTGGGACCTCTAATTAACATGGCCTGTATAGATGAACAACATAAAGAAAAAGCAAAATAATGAGCAAAATCCAATACTATGGAAACCAATTTCTTCAATTTCCTTAATAATAAACTTGTTATTATTCTACATAAATTTCTTTTAAAATTTTCATTCCATTTTTTTTTTAATTAGGTGTCAACTCCTTTATAAATTCAATAAAATAGAAAGAAGACTAATGTGAAGCGCGCAAAACCCCGGTTCAAATCATGATGGTTTTGTAATTAATTAAGTATAGAACAATTAAGTTTGAAGAGGGACAGAGGAGGGATGAACCTGAAGTTGACTTTGTGATAATAGATTTGGCATGTTGTAGCAGTCTGTGAAGTAGAAGTGCCGATCGTCTGGACTGCCTACACTTGGTGGAAACCAACACTCTTCCAATGATTTGCAACCAGCTGCATTAATATCCCTTATAGATGACGGAAGTGACGTCAACTTTCGGAGGCTTGTGCAATCTCTCAAATCCGGATCTGTGAGCCTTGTGAGTTGTTTGAAGCTTGCTGGTACGCTTGCGAAATTGTTTTGACTTAGATCTAATCTTTGCAGCAATGATAGGTGGACAAAACTGGATAAGGATTCTTCAGACAAATTGCATCTCCGGAGTTGTAAATCAATTAAATTGCACAAACTGCCTAGCTGGATTGATTTTGGCAAATAAGTTGAATTAGCAACATTTGTTGTTCTCTTTCCCAGCTGGAATGATTTTGGCATCCATGAACTTGTCCTCTTGGGATATTCACTGAGATTGAGCTCAGCAAGCTTACTCAAGTGTACAATGGATGATGGTACCTGTTCTATAGAAGTTCCATCCATCCAAAGCCACTTTAAATCCTTCATTCCAGAAAACATGTTGTTTGGAACACTTTTAAGCTTCCGGCAGCCTGTTAGTTGTAAAATTTTAAGCCCAGTAAGATGTTCCATTGATGAGGGTAAATCTTTTATTCCACTCCAGCCTAAACGAAGCTCCTCCAAACAATCCGTACCTTCCTGAACCTCTGGAAATTTCTCAAGTTTTGAGCATCCAGAGAGATAAAAATGTTTCAAAATTTTCAACTTGATGCTTCTTGGGAGACGACTAAGTTTTTTACATCTACGGAGATTCACGCTAACAAGCCTCTCATGGACTCCACTGGAAAGGTGAATCTCAACTAGATTTTTACAACATTGAAGATTTAATTCCTCAAGAAGTGGGAAATTGGACAGATCAGGAATTTTTTTCAAATATGGGGAACCACCGAAATTGAGATGTTTTAACATCCCTATAAACTGTTAAGCAAACAAGCAATGCAAGAAATAAATCAGTTTCAATACAATTCATATGTAAATAAACTGTCATCATACCTTGATGTCCATTGGAATTTGTTGGATTTGGCTACGAGGGAGGTGAAGTTGAACAAGATTTTCTGGATGGAAATTGGATGGCAAAAATCTTCCCCGATAATCTTCCAAATGAAGATAACGTAAATCATTTGAAAGATATGTAAGGCGTCCACGAAGCCGTATGCCACTGAGTTTGAGCAGTTTAAGTCCCTTCATCTTCGCAAAGGCATCAACATTTACATGTAAGTCCTCTAATCGATGGTCTAACAACTCCTCTGGTAGATGGCGTTGATATATGTCTAGCATGATGCCTTCAATTTTTTCTGTCCCCTGATAACCAAGGCCATGGTATAAGTTACCACATTATGTTAAAACCTAATTAGATTTATACAAGTATTATATGAAGGACAAAAAAAAAAAAAAAAAAAAAAAAAAAAAAAAAACCATAAAGATGAAGCAAAGCCTATGTTTTTTGAACTACTTGCTACGGAAAGAAACTTGCGTGTAAGTTACCACATTATGTTAAAACCTAATTAGAATTATACTAGTTTTGTAGCTGCTTATATGAAGAAATTAAAAATAAAAATAAAAATAAAGATAAAGAAAAGCCTATGTTTTTTTGAACTATTTACATGTGGAAAGAAAATTATATATGGGTGAACATACCGTATTATCTTTGAGTACTTTATAGATATCTTTATAAAAGTGCAACCTGCTGCATTTGCCAGGATCATCAGGTGATTCTTCATGAACAATTTTCCAACCCATTTCTTGTATCAAATCATGCATCCACAACCTATTGCCCTTCGAGATAGTTATCAAGGAACGTTCGATAAGAATTGGAATTCGCGAGGGAAACTCACTGCCCAATATACTCATTACTTCATCTTTATCATCCCCTTTAAAGAAACAAGGGATATCAAGGAATAGATTCTTCTCTGAATCATCAAGGCCATCAAAACTTACCTTTAGAACTTCATAAATTTTTTTATTTGGAATTTTTTTCAATCTCTCCAGTTCATCTTCCCAATATTCTATACTTCTTTTAAATAAAAGAGAACCCAAAACTTGAAGAGCTAATGGGAGGCCTTGAGCATAATTAATTACACTCCATGAGAGTTGCAAATAATTCTCTTCAGGATAGTTCTTCTTGAAGGCATTCCAACTAAAGAGTCCAAGAGCTTCATCGTCATTCAACAGCTCAACCATGTAGATTTCATTATCAAGAACTTCACACTGTTCCAACACACGTTTATCTCTAGTTGTTATGATGATCTCACTTCCAAAACCACCAAACCAGTAATTTCCCCCAGCTAGACTTTCTAATTGCTCCAAACTATTCACATCATCGATAACTACAAGAACCTTCTTGTGTTGGAGTCTTCTCTTTATCACATTGATCCCGTGGCCAACATCACTTATATTTAAATCTCCTTCCTTTAGGATTCCCTTCAAGAGTTTTTGTTGGAGATACACAAGACCATGTTTTTTGGACTCTTCTCTCACATTTGCAAGGAAACAACGACTTTCAAATTCACCAGATTTTCGGTTGAAAACAGCTCTAGCAATCGTTGTCTTTCCTATCCCGCCAGCTCCATAAATCCCTACAATGCGCACATCCTTTTGCCCATTGTACAACATAGTGATCACTTTATTTACACGAGAATCTATCCCCACCGAGAATTTGGCAACATCTAATGGTATATGCCTCCCCAATTTTTCCATAATCTCTTGAACAATTTTCTGAATAAATTGTGCCTCATGCCTATCAAGTACGAAACATATTTTAAAAAAAATCGAGTGTGTGGGTTTGATTGTATTAATATAAGAGATAAAGATTGAAGTTACTATAATGAATATTTCTATCAATTATAACTAATATACGAGATAATAGGATAAACAACTAAATTTATAAATCAAATTGATAGAATTAGAGTAATACATATTAAAAAGTTGATAAAATATATATTAGTGGGAAAATTTACAAACGAAGTCATGATATCTTTTATAAAAAAATTCTATATAGGTCTATGCATGGTGGATGTAAAATGGTACTAATACGAGGCAGCCACGTAGTAAGAGCAAGGAAAAATATCTTAGAAAATAAAAGTGCATATAATCATTGGTTCAACAATTTTATCCCGTATGTATATGTGTGTGTTTTTTTTTTTTTTTTTTTTTTTTTTTCTAATCGGTGCAACCTCCATATTTATTTTAAAATTTAATCATTTTAAATGGTGAATTTGATCAAATAATAATGAAATTTTAAAATGTTCAATTTTGCTATAAATTGTATTAATTAGGAAAATAAAAGAGCGCGCTAATATTGGGCTGACCCTTTTTATTTTATTTTTTTGGCCTTGGCAAAGGTGCCGACCTAAATAGTCCAGAATGGCAGGGTCAGTGAAAAACCAAGAAACTTTGTGCTGGATTTTATTCAATTGATCATGAAATCATATATATATATATATAAACAGATCAAATTATTATGTTTATCATAAAATCACAAGTATGGATACAACGATAAATCATGCACACTACTTGAATGTCATTTGTCACAACTCTCTGAATTTTACAGCGGACTTCACAAATTTACTAACTAAAATTATGCTATTCCGACAGTCGCTACTGCACTTAGTATATATCTGTTCATTAAAAATCACAAATCTTGAAACCTTAATATAACGCTGCCCTGGTTTCTTCTTACTCATACTCTAAATCAACTAGGAAACTAATTAGAGATGATAGACTCAAGAATAATTAAGCACGATAAACTAATTAGAGGTGATACACTGGACCATATTCTGATATTCGGGTGAAGATTTCATATAGGGCCCTAGCTATATAAATATATATATATATATATAGGCCCCAAAAAAGACAAAAAAAAAAGTACTAAGAATTCATAGATATAACTACTCAATCTAATATCAAAATGAACTCCAATCCACGTACAAAATCGTTTATATAACTAAAGATGTTAATATTGCTGAAGACAATAAATAATAACAAATAAAACAATACAGCTAAATACTGATAGAAACATACTCTGTTTGAGTTGGAAATTAATTACGTACCCATTTGCAATTTTTTTTGGCTCGAACCCACTTAAGTTTGCTGCCTCAACCAAAGCATTTCTCCAGCTTTGCACCTTTTGGTCGTCCTTCCCGAAAGCTTCTTCATGCTTGCGAAATGCTTTTCCAAAACTCTTCTTTTGTTTCCTTACTCGGGAGGGATCCACGTTGTAGAAGATGGGCAAAACTGTCTGTCCCATTGTGCTCTTGCATCGAATGATCTCCACCAGTTCATCCAAGCACCAAGTGGAAGAAGCATAGTTTGTTGAGAAAATGATGATTGCAATTCTCGATTCCTTTATAGCCTTGATGAGTTCTGGAGAAATTGATTTTCCTCTCTCAAGTTTCTCGTCATCTTTGAAAGCGTAAATTCCTTTCTGTTCTAGAGCACAATAGAGATGATCTACAAAGTGTTTGCGGGTGTCTTCACCTCTAAAACTTAAGAAGACGTCATAATTCCATTGAGGAGGAGGAGGAGGAGGAGGAACCATTCACAGTGGGTGATTTGTTTGTGTAAGATGACTCAAAAGCAATTTTGGTACTTCAAGTTAGAATCTCAGTCTTCTTAATTATATAGGGCTGTTGATGTCTGTGTGTGATATCCAAGAAATTTCCTTCCAAACTGAGGTGTAATGCAAGTGGTTGGATATTTCGGTGTAATAATTATGGCATCCTATGAGAAACTTCCCAATAAAAACGCTAAGTCTAAATGTTGACATATATCACTTTTTATGTGTCACGTTTGTGGTGATTTGTTTTAAGGAACTCCTCCTCTTTAAATGGTGACACATATCATCAACATTTTTTTGAAGACATTTTATATGTTTTTTATATGACATATAAATCTTACTTTTACAATTCTTTCCCACTAAAGTTCTAAATCATTCAACTTTTTACCTACATATTAATTTTTTTTTTTTTTAAATGAAAGTTTACCTTCACGATTATGAATAATTTTTCTTTTCTTTTTCCTATTTAGTGGACACAAAATGTTTGGACCTAGTTTAAGTGATTTAATGCTAAAGATCGAAAAATTGATATGTACTAAGTCACATAGAGCGGAAGTGAAAACGAGAGTGCAAAAGCGTCTTAGTCTAAATTTTTTGAAAGCCAGAAGAGCGTCTATATATTAGGTTTAAATAAAATTATAAAGGTGATGACATATATGTCGTGAGAGCGTCTATATATTAAGTTTAAATAAAATTATAAAAGGTCATGATGTATATATTTTTTATTTTTTATTTATTTAAATTCATATAAAAATATATTTATTATTATTTATTCCATTGATGATATATATGTAATAAATAAGATGCTTGAGAGGTATCAGATGGAATGATGATAAAGAAGGGTGAGCAGTAGGATATTTTGTTGGGTGTTGGTGGAATTGCCTATTTATTGAAGTATATGTATTAGAGTGTTTCATGCACTAAGTGAGTTTACAGAAAAGAGAAAATTAGAGTTAAAAAAAACATTAAAAAATTGAGAGAGTATGCAGAGACACGAAAATTGAGGAAAGACAGTGCGGATGTTCATGCTCAGATTAATGATTTATTTTACAGTGTAGAATTCTCTATATCTTGAATGGTTTGGGGTGATATTGTTTTAAATAATTTTTATTAAATATTTTAATTAAATGTATATGTATTTTGTTTATATATTCACCTGAACGTGTATATTTTGTGAAGTTGTTTTATTAAACCTCCATACAATTCTTGTTATGATTTTTTCTATTGGGACTTCCCCATCTCCCCCCCTACAGTTTCAGGTTCCGATGATTCTTGAGGATTTATTTTATTTATTTAGAGAATTTTGTATTTTCATATTTGAGGAATTGATTTTGTATCAATATTTAGAGAATTTATTTTTGTGATACTAGGTGAATATTGATGTATTTTGATTTGAATAAATTGAGGATTTTATTTAGAAAATTCGGGGCGTGACACCAAACCTGCACTCACGATTAGCCAAATGAACCAAGCATGAGCCTTTATTCCAGGTATATGTGCAAGTTTTGATTCTATGAGGTTTTATGTAAGATCTTGTGTAGACTAATTTTAATTTTAGGTGTTTATTACTATCATTGTTAAATCTTTAAAAAAGAAATGACAAACAAGAATACTTATAAATATGTATTTGTTACTTTGATATTTTCATAACTTTGAATTTTCCTCTCTCGGTAGGCCCTTTGTGAAGAAAGTGACCTAAGGAGTAGCATGAGAACTCCTTCCATATAAATCATGATAAAAGTTGTTTGAATATTTGTTCCATGTAGGCCTTGAGCCTCTCATTGTGAATTTTGATGTCGGAAGCGAAACAATAACATGTGTATGCTCTAGTGGTGAAATAACATCTATCTCCGCCTCGAGTGCCGAAAAAATTTGTTAAAGAAAATAAATTTTTTATGTCATTTTGTCTCTCCCCTGAGTGGTGAAATAACATCTATCTGCCCTCTCATTATGGTAATTGTTGTTTAGTAAATTTGTTGGCGAGTGGTTGAAGGTTCTCGTCATTAACTCTATATCTTGCTAAGGTCTTTGTGAAAAAAAGAAACACATGCGGAAAAGACTTGAATTAAATAATGTCTAAAAAATGGAGAGATAAAGCTTCAAAAGTGTAAAACGAATAAAGAGTCTCCTCCACCTAGTCAAAAGGTAAATTTGTTAGTGGAGATGAAGCTCCAAAGGTGTAAAACGAATAAAGAGTCTCCTCCACCTAGTCAAAAGGTAAATTTGTTAGTGGGTTGAAGGTTCTTGTCATTGACTCATTCTCTATATACGGTCTTTGTGGAAAAAGGGACACACATTCATTTCAAATTGAGGGAATTTACACATTCATTTCAAATTTATTAGTGTGTGGTTAATTTGAAGGTTCTTATCATTAAAGTTCTTTGTAGAAAAAGGGCATAGGGTTGATGATGTATTCCTTTTGGGTGGACAAGAAAAAGATAGCAAGTGAGGCAATTTTTTATTTTATTTCATAAAAGTAAAGTGTGAAAAATTCCCCTTTGAATTATGTCAAAATTTGAAAATAACAATCACATTTTGAAGTATATTTTTATGCATAATACTCACCGAACAATCACATTTTGTTCCAAAATATCCAATGCTTAAACTATTTTCATTAAATGACCAAGTACCATTTTTATTGAATTGCACTTAATTTTTTTTTTCTTATTAAAATAAATTATAAAACAAATCGATATTAATTTGATGACATATTCTTCATTAAATTTGCTTAAATTTTTCTTTAATTTTTTTAAAAAATAATCATTAGAATAAAAATCTAAGTAGAATTTTTTTTTAAACAATTCAAGTAGAATCATTGTTAAATCTTTAAAAAGAAAATGGCAAACAAGAGTACTTTATAAACATATATTTGTTGCTTTGATTTTTTTCAGATAATCCCAACAAAAATTGAAAATCAAATAAAGTTCTTTGAAATTGTAACTACCCTAAACTGATACCCTTTTTTTTTTAAAAAAAAAAAAAATTTAAAAATTTGGCATGACCTCCCCTAAAAAGGGGCCTACAACCACCTGTTCAAATAAAAATGCAATGGCCCTTCTTGGCCTTTTAAGACATATCCAGCCTGTCCCAACACATAATACAAATCATAAATTCCAGCATCCCATTCATCCGTTCATTATACCTCAACATGATTCATTTCATGGTGGAACATCCACATACCATTTAATCCAAATTATCATAATTATAGTCCCAAAATATATGGTTAAGATCTAAAGTACATATCTTACAACGTTTGGACAACTTATACTAAAGGTACAGTCCATAATTATAATTACAATAACAGGGGTTTACAAACCTCTATACCAAATATAACAAACTAAGGTTTTACAAAAATATAGGACTTAGTACAAAAATAGCAAAAAAAAATTTCTAAATCCAAATTAGGCTTGTGGTGGAACGTCATCCGTCACTTCTTTCCCGTTTCCGGAAAAAAAATTATTAAATAATAGGGTGAGCAATTTGCTCAGTAGGCGATGCCTAAGACACACCTCTTGTGTCCCCGTGAATCCAAACAAAGAATAGAACAATAGAGGATGGGGTCATGCTATGTCGAAAAACATATACAATATAATAATCAATTTCAACATACACAATGAGATACTATGAAATGCGATGCATGCCGATGTCGCTCCCCATTTTCAACATCCAAATCCATCACTTTCAAACCGTTAATGTAACCCCTTTCAGTAAATCCTCAGCGTCGAGAGAAGGATTGGCTACTGTCCCTTACCGCTGGTACCTCCGCAGCGTCATTTGGGGCCCAGATAGCTCAACCACGCTAGGGCAATTTTTCTAGTTCCCCCTAGGTTACATTAACCTACCTGACTCCGCGGCGACCGGGTTTTTCATAAAACACTTTAATCAAAGCTTCTTTCCCAAAATTCCCTTTTTGCATTTTGAAACACTTTTCCCCATTTTCATGCCCAATGACATGCATGAACATGACATACTTTCTCAATGTCATGACAATGAAAGACTTTTATGCTACACAAATTAACATGCTTCCATTTAACAATTGCTAATAAATTACTAACACCATAGGCATAAAAGAATTTACACGTAAACATGTTTTCCACATATTAAATTTTAACAAGTTTACAAACACACAAGCAAATAAAATCAACATTTAAGCATATTTTTCACACAAATTCACATATACACATAATTTTGAATTTCATATACAAAACCAAATCATTTTAGAGGCATTCATCTCAAATCAAGCATGTTTAGCTATAATTAACAAAGAGTAATTCACAAGGGAGCAAGAATTTCATAGATTAGGAACCCCTACCTCAAGTGTAATGCAAAAGTCTCAAATGGGTCTCAAATTTTGAAAGTACTAGGGAGCATCAAAACTGAAATTGCTGGTATGGATTCGAAGTCCTCGCCGGGGGTTTCGATTTGCCGCAAACGGCTTCTAAAAACTCCAAGTATTGAAAAAGTAATCAAGATTTGAAGTTTGATGCCTAAAAGAAAGAAAAAAGAAAAGTTCAGAATTGGGAGAGAGAAGCTTACAGGAGTGAGAGATAATTGTGAGGCTTCAATGGCCTTTTGGCCTCTAAACAGTGATAATGGTGGACCCCACCAAAATTTAATTTATTTTCCTTTTTCTTTTCTTTATTAATTCCCACCAATATATATACATGCACCCAACCAAATAAAACCCACATAAAATACATCAAATAAAATACATAAAATGTAAATGGACCCAACCAAAATCCTAATGCATGACAATACCAGTAACGAGTCCCACACGGGACTGTCCGGCTCGAAAAACGAAAAAATGCGAAAATGTCTAACCTTGCATTTCCAAGAGTCCTGAACTCAATGGAATGCCCCAACCAACCATCCGACACACTCGGCACACCCCACGGTGTCTAGTACGCAAAACGAGAAATGACAAAAATATCCTCGCAGTAACAAAATTCTGGAAAAAATGAAAATTGCCGAAAATCATAAATATCACAATCTACCGTCCTTAAAGAGATTTCGTCCTCAAAATCTACCATCCTAAAAAAAAAAAGGCCCACAGTCACACACTCTCCAAGAACACCTCACAAAACCCGAGACTGTGAACTCGCTGATATTATTGTCTTTGACACTCGACGTCACCAGA